AGGAGCTATGCTGGCTCACCTACCTGTTGACTGACCTAAGAGAGCCGCCTTGTTCTCCTCCAGTTCTTTACGTAGACAACAAGGCCATGCTGGCCTTGTGTCCGGAGCACAGACTGGAGCACAGAACGAAGCACATTGCTCTCCGCTACGTCCTGGCTCGTGAGCTGCAGCAGCGTGGTCAGCCCTGTCTCACCTACGTGGCCTCTGAGGCCAACACTGCTGATATCTTCACCAAGGCCCTTCCGACTTGTGATCATCAGCGCTTCTGTACTTTGCTAGGTCTTGTGCCTACCTGGCCTCACTTGCTCACTTCTTGATCTTGTTTGTAGTGTACTCTTTCTATACTTGCACTTGCTTGTCTACCTTTATATATATGATCTTGCATGTGAATTGGCCTTGTGGCCTTACTCTTGTGCTCGGACTGTGTGGTGACTTTGTGATCCACCCTGAGCTTGCTTTGCTTTGCTTGACTGGTCTTGTGACCACTTGTTCTCCCCCACTTTGCCTATGGGGATGTGTCAGAACATTATAGCAGCGAGGTCAGCTTTGCCTTGCTTACGTGGCCACTCAAGCCAACACTGCTGATATATTCACCAAGGCACTTCCGTTTGGTGACCATTAGCGCTTTTGTACTTTGTTGGGCCTTGTGCCTACATTTCCTTACTTGCTGTAGTCTCTACTTGTACTGTGATCTATATATATTCCTGCATGCTTGCTCTTGCTAGCTTGAGATCACAGTGCTGTTCTTGTTACTTATATACCTCTGCATGTGGACTAGCCTTGTGGCCGTTTGCTTGTGCTCAGTGTGTGTGGTGACGTTTTGATCCACCATGAGCTGTGTTTTGTTTCTTCTCTTGACTGGTCTTGTGACCGTTGCTTGCTCTAGCTATCCCCCATTTCGCCTATGGGGGTGCGTCAAAATATATGCATATCATTTTCCAGGCTATATTGGGGATAGCCTTAGGGGGTACAATATAACTTTCTCGACACCCTAGTCTTGTACCCAAACCTTCACCTAATCTGCTAATTCTTGCCTTAGTTCTTAACAAAATCAGCTGCTCACTGAGAATGCTATAAGAAGGCTAGTCTTACATCTTCGTTTGCCCTTTCTGTCCAAATGGAACACGCGAATTTATGGCCAATGTATTCCTTGATAAGAAGTGAGCAAATGACTAGAATGAAGGCATACCACAGTTGAGATATGTAGCAACCCATACACACTATACGACAACCCAATCTAGGCTACAAGAACACATGCAAATATACGTATGTTTACTCTGACACATCCCGTAGGCTAGGTAAGGGGCAGTGCCAAGAAGAAGTGAAACAACTCAGGGCAGGACTAATAGTGCAGCCTCTAATCTAAGAGGCCACAAGGATAGTTATGAAGAGGAACAAAGTGTATGAGGTACAACTCAGGGCTGACTAGCCCAGCCCCAGGAACAAAGGGTCACAAGGCCAGTCAATTAGTATAAATAGACAAGAACAAAATCAAGCACAATGGGGTCCAGCTTGGACAAGGCCATGCGTGTATAGATCCGTTGATAATTACGAGGCGAGAGAGCCTTGGTGAAGATATCAACGGTGTTGGCTCCTGAAGCCAAGTCTACTATGCGTGCATGGTCTCGCTGTGGCTGCTCATGCAACAAGAAATACTACATTTTGATGTGCTTCGTTTAGCCCTTCATTCTAGGTTTCTGATACCTGAGGATCATGGCCATGTTATCAGCGAACAGGACCAGGGCAAAGCTAGACGGCTCACCTGAATCAGTGAGCAAGAAAGTCAACCAGTAGAGCTCCTTAGCAGCCGTAGCACCAGCGTAGATCTCTGCGTCACAACTAGACTGTGCCACTTACAACGAACGAGTGGAACTCTACGAGATAGCTTCGGCGCCAAGGCTGAAACAGCCCTGAGAGGACCTGAGAGACCAGATGACATGCGAGGTTTGGGCGAGAGTAGGTCATCAGGTACATGAGGCACCCCACCAGCTTGGAGTACTGATCAGTGGGCTCAATTGCTTGTCACAGATAGAGGCCGAGAGCATATGACAAACAGGCAGAGGAGAACTGAAGGCCGAAGTGCCGGAAGATTTGCTGCACCATGTGTGACTCAGTAAGAGTGATGGTGCACGTTGCTCGGTCCCTGATGACTTGCAGGCCAAGATAATGGCGTAGTTGACCAAGGTCAATGCAGGTATATCCACAGCAGCTCGGCCTTCACCGAGCGACTCTGACGGATGTGGCAAATACCTAGTTGTTGATGTAAATGAGAATATTAAGGATAGTGGAGCCAGACCAAACAAAGAGAGAGTGATCATCAGAGGACGGGAAAAAGGGGAGGTCAGCCAGAGTGGTGCCACTCATAAGGCGCCTGGCGTATACAGTAGATGGGCTGTTGAAGGCTCCACTGTGTCCCAAGAAAAAAGGACCGAGTGGAGCCAGGTGGGCAGTGGAGGAAGATCTGCTCATGCAGGCTGCCCTGGAGAAATGAAGTAAAGAAGTTGAGAGCGTGCAGCTCGTAGTCGCGCTTCGCTGCAATGTGTAGCAGTAGCTGAGGAGCTGTCATCTTCCTGATTGAGGAGAAGGTATGAAAGAAGTCTACCCTTTCTTGCTGACTGAAGCCTCTTCTACGCAGCGCGCCTTGAAGACATGTGCCTCTTTTGGTGGCTGTTTCACCTTGAATATCCACATGCCATCAACTATGTTAGCCTTAGGAGGGAGAACCGCGTCGACGCAGGTGCAAGTGGACCTCCAAAATGACATCTTTGCGTCCATGGCTGCTTTCCACTGAGAGGCCTATGGTCTTAGGACCGCTTCAGGGTAAGTGCGAGGGGTCCGGATATTAAGAGCGTCAGAGGCTCGTTTAGGAGCTAGCCGCATGGCGCAGAGATGAGGAGCAGCGGCCGCAAGGAAAGCTAGCTCAAATTGTCTGTCCTCTAGGACGTCATTGCCAAGGGCAGGAGCACCTCCAACAGACGAAGAACGGGCAGTGGCAGAGACCAACTGAGTGGCGTAGTCAAGGCGGCGGGTGGAGGTAAAGTCAGTAACAGCTGAGACCAGAGCATGGATGGAGGAGGGGCAGTGGGGTCGGTGACAAGGGAGGAGAGCTTTGTTCACACGAGGGTCACAGACGTGAACAAGGCAGCCCTAGACGCAAAACACAGGCGTAACACAACCCTGACTAGTGGAGGGTCGGCAAAACTTGCGGCCACGAGAAACGAGGCCGCAAGTCAAGCTAGTGCGAGGCGTAGCGGACCGCAAATGGCCACAGAAAATGGGGGGCACTAGCATGAATCATGGAAGTACGAACAATCTTCATTCTGCATGTAGATCTTGGACCAGAGGCGAACTCGCCTCCACAGCCAGAGTGCAGACGAAGCACAGGTTGGACGTGCTGGGCATAGATCGCGACAAGCCATGGGAGGAGAGCGTCAGACACGTCGACCTTCCGCTCCAAGGAAAACACCGCGGTGTAGCGGGAGTAGTCCTCCACAATGACCAAGAAGAAGCGCTCCCCACGTGGCCCTGAGACGGTGGTAGGGCTGACGTCCATGTCCAATGTTTGAAGAGGCACAGTGGTGGGAGTAAACGAAAAGGAGTGAGGGGAGGCGCACTGCTTGGCCTCGACACAAGGAATGCACGTCGGTGTAGACGAGGGAGGAAGAGGGGGGAGTGACGATGGGAGATTAGAGACATGACCGTGCTGAGCCATGCGAGGGAGATGCGGGGGAGCGCGATGACCTAGATAGTGGTGTCTTAGAAGTGATGGGTGAGTGAGCGACCGACACCAGCACGACGTAGCACCCTGACCGATGCAGGAACCTGGTGGACATAGGGTGAAAATTCCTGACACAGGGTCCCGAAGAAACGTGGCAAGAGGTGCCCCAGTGGTAGCATCCGTATAGGTTGCAAACTGCTAGTATCGAGGAAACGTGGTGATGATATGGGGATTGAGAAGACCACTGACACCATCAAGTTCCCGAAGAACAAGCGAATGTGCAGATGACGAAGCAGAGGACGACGAAGCAGCAAGGAGAGCAGATGGGGGAATAGCAGAGGAGGAGGATGGCGAGACGGAGGAGGGAGGAATCACTAGGGGCAGAGTGCGTGGGCGGAGGGCAGGAATTAGGGCAGAGTGCGTGGGCAGAGCGCAGGAATTACTAGGGGCAGAGAGCATGGGCGAAGTGCAGGAATTACTAGGGGCAGAGTGTGTGGGCGGAGGGCAGGAATCACTAGGGGTAGAGTGCATGGGCGGAGCGCAGGAATTACTAGGGGTAGAGTGCGTGGGCGGAGTTTCACAAAGTATATTAGAGAGTGGAATGATGTGGAGCACCCCTTCAAGCATACCCCCAAGGATTGCATCAAGTGGGTGCTGTCACCCGGTTATACAGGCAGGAGTGCAGCAGATATAAAGGGAGTCCAGCATTTACGTGGACTGTTATGAACCAACACTAGCAAAGCGGCAAAGCCCACTAGCAGAGCGCAGTGGCGAGGCACAGAGGCAAGGCAAGGCAGCGAGGCAAGGCAGCAAGGCAAGGCAGCGAGGCAAGGCAGCAAGGCAAGGCAGCGACGCAAGGCAGCGCAACAAGGCAGCGAGGCAAGGCAGCAAGGCAAGGCAGCGAGGCAAGGCAGTGAGGCAAGGCAGCGAGGCAAGGCAGCGAGGCAAGGCAGCAAGGCATGGTAGCAAGGCAAGGCAGCGAGGCAAGGCAGCGAGACAAGGTACCTGTGCTGGAAGCTTTTCCACTCTGGTGAGAAACTCCGTGAGCTGTGCTGCCCAGTGAGGCAGATAAAGGGTGAGAGAAATTCTGTGAGCTGTGCTGCCCTGTGAGAAAGATAAAGGGTGAGAGAAATGCTGTGAGCTGTGCTGCCCTGTGAGGCAGATAACGGGTGAGAGAAATGCTGTGATTTGTGCTGCCCTGTGAGGCAGATAAAGGGTGAGAGAAATGCTGTGAGCTGTGCTACCCTGTGAAGCAGATAAAGGGTGAGAGAAATGCTGTGAGCTATGCTGCCCTCTGGAGGGGACCGATGGAAAGTGACAGGAGAGAAAAATGCTGTGAGCTGGACTGCCCGGTAGGCCAGATGAGCATGCAGAGAGGGAGAGAGGAGAGAAGAAAGGAGGGAAGATGGGAGTGGAAGAGGGGAGAGAAGATGACACGGAGGTGAGGAGAGGGAAGGCTGATAAGATTACAGTGATGAAGGACCGATGGCAAAAAGGAGGAATGAGAGAAAATCAAATACGGCTGCACTCTGGTCTAGTCCATCAATTCTCACCAACTCTCACCCCTTTCCCACCCCTCCTCACCCCTCCTCCACGTTGTAAATCAGACACACCACTCAGCACGTGCCACAACACTGCTGTCTATCCCCATCCTGCCGCCACCCCTCCTCACCCCTTCTCCCGGCTGTCGACCAGCAGCACCACCCGGTATGTATTATAGAAGCACTGCCCCTCCACCAGCGGGGGCAGCCGAATGTCAGCCGTCTCTTCGAGTGACAGGCAGGTGGGTGGCGACGATGGGAGGTGGGTGGGGAGTGATGGGTGATGGGTAGACAAAGAAGGAGAGAGGAGTGGCACTATAGGAATCGCAGCAGACATCTGGTCGGCCTGAGAGTTGTTGCCAAGCAGGGAAGGGGTGGTGCACGGGTGTAGGGGCAAGCAATGTGGGAGCAGGGAGGGAACGGCAAAGAAGGAGAGAACTCTGAGACGGAAAACAGGGAGGAAGCCAGTGCATACAAACTCCACACCACTTTTTGCATGGATGCATGCACGTACCATTCATTGCACTTAGCGATGCCAGAAATGCTGAGGCTTCACTTCCCAGCACTGCCTCGCCCTCTCTTGCTGCTCCTCCTCCTCCACTTCTGCTACGGAGTGGTGCATGTGATTCTCCTACCGCTGCTGCTGCTGCTATTGGTGCTTGTGCTCTTCTTTTTCTTGCTGCTGCCTCACTCACTTCAGCTTTTGCCACTTCCACTGCGGCTTGGGCTGCTACAGTCGCGCCACCATCGGCAGCACTGCTTGCTTGTCGCCTTAGACCCCTCCCGCCTCTCCCACCCCTTGTGAATCCAACCTCCTGCCTCCTAATACTGGGTCTATCTCCTTGCTCCTCTGCTGCCTGCATGCAATGCATGAACATATAAGTCACAGGGTTAAGAGGAATGTAGACGAGAGTGGGGGGCAAGAGCAAGGAGTCGAGGTCTGCCACCTTTTGTTCCGACACGGCTCGACTGTTGGCCAAGCCGGCTCGACTTCATTAACACAACAACTTGGCGACGCCTTCCCCCACCTCAAGTTCCTGAGACACCTCAGAGAACTGACTTGTTAATTGACCTGCATCGCCGAGCCAGCTGACTAGATGGCATCGGACTTGAGACGATGCCTGTATTGACTCGTGCCAATGCAAGTAGTCGCGTTACAATGCGTTTCAAGCCACGGATTTTGTGTGAAGTGGTTCGGGACAGGTCAAGTTTGTTTGACAAAATGCAATGGTTCTCAAGAATAAGCTCGGCATTTTCAATTCCGGATCCCACGAGTTCCGTATTCCAAGACCAATTCCTTGAAGAACTTCCAATTCTTTCTTGCAATAAATTTCTCCATGAATCACCTTGTAACAGAGGTAGGCAGTTTGGTTGCTTTTCAGATGTTGCTTCTCAAATGTTGTTTTTCAGATGTTGCTTCTCATCTTTTGCTTCTCATATGTTGCTTCTCAGATGTAAGAGCAACTTCTGTGCTAGTTTGCTAGCGCAAGCTGAGTGAAGTTGACTTCGATTTATTGCACCAAGAAATGGAACAAGGCAGGAAGGAGGAAGAGGGGGGCATGCAGAGCAGCAAAGGCGGGCTAGAGAATGAAAGAAATCAGGCAAGTGAGGAAGGAGCCATGAGGAAGGGGGATGCTGGAGGGAGGGGAGGGAGGGAGGAAATTAATGCATTTCGAGAAAAAAGGAAAATCTGGAAAATGACCGAGGTTCACCTGATGAGCGGGTGGGCTCAATGAAGGGATGTCTGCTGGTGGAGGGACGGATGGCAGAGCAGTGGGAGAGGGTGGCAGAGTGGTAGAGGATGAAACATTGCTGGCAGGGAGGTAGCAGCCTTAGTAGGCTTGAGAAGTGAGTATGGAGTGCTCTCGAGGGTTATCTAGAATTTGCACTATGACTTCACATATTCGACAGTACAATTTTTTAAAGCACATTCATACATCGGGTTGCACTCCCAAGTCGCGATACTCTAAATTTCTCAATGGTAGCCCAACCCTTTGAAATGAACCTGCCATGAAATTCAGAGAATTATTGCGGTACGGATTGGACGGCGAGCTTGGTTACGGGGCTGTAATTTCATCGGTGTTGTTGGCGAAGTCGGTGAGCGGTTGGAACTTTGGTGTTCTGCGTTTCGTAATTTTTGTGGGTGGGTTTGACTTGGGCTACTTGTTGGAACTTTGTCGCCCAACCGCAGGTTGAGGCGCCTGCCCAATGTGGACCATAGGTGAGGTGGCGCTTGACTTCCGCCCACCTGCATTGCAATTGGCAGCACTCGGCTGCTGCAGTGTTACATTACTTTCCCCTCCAAGTGGCGTCGTCCACGGCGCCAAACCGTGGCTGGTCAAGTATCGATTCACAGCAATTGCAGCACGGTCAAGGTGGATCCCAGGTTCCCACAAGTCTTCACTAGCCGGGTGATCTTTCCAACGAACGAGAAAGTTACGACCATGTGTGTCGCGGTGAGCAGTGATAGATGCAACCTCGAACAGGCCGGGGTGCCTTCAAACATCAGTGGAAGTTGGCGTGTGGCTGGACGGTCGTGTGAAGGTGCATGGAAAGGGCGGAGGCGCTGGACATGAAAGACGGGGTGAATCTTCATAAAGCTGGGTAGTTGGAGGCGGTAGGTGACTGGTGAGAGGGCTCGGGTGATAGTGAATGGGCCAATGAAGCGAGGGGCGAGTTTTCTGGTTGTACCTTTGTGTAGGAGAGGGAGATGGTTTGTGGAGAGAAGCAATTGGTCGCCAACCTTGAAACGGATATCCTTGCGATAAGAGTTGGCATAGTGGGCTTGTTTGGCTTGTGTGTTAAGGATGGAGTTGCGAGTGGCGTCAATGGCTGATTCGAGTGAGGTGAGGAACTCAAAGGCTGCTGGTGCATGGGAGAGGTGGGAGGGTGGGGTAGTTGGGAGGCGTGGGTGCTGTCCGGTTGCGAGGTAGAAGGGTGGCTGACCGGTGGAAAGGTGGGGTTGCTGTAGTATACGAGCTCGATGGCGGTGAGGTGGAGGTCCCAATCTGTTTGGCGAGCGGTAACTTGGGCACGGAGGGCGTCTTCAAGTGTGCAGTTTGTCTGTCCGTTTCAGGGTGATATGCGGTAGAAAACTTTAGCCAGGTTCTGTGAATTTTGAAGATGCTCTGCCAAAAGTTGCTCAAGAAGCAAGGGTCGCGGTCTGAAATTATGGTGGATGGGAGACCATGTAGGCAGACTATGTGATCAAAGAAAAGGCGGGATGTTTCGGGTGCGGTGACGGTTGTGTGGGTGGGAGTGAAGTGGCTCATTTTGGAGAGTCGGTCGACGACGACTAGGATGGCGTTGTAGCTGCGAGGTGTGCAGGGCAGATCCATGATGAAGTCCATGGCGACTTCATCCCACACTTTCGTATGTGGAGGGATGGGCTGCAAGAGTCCGTAGCGGTTGGTGGTGCATACTTTGAGTTGTTGGCAGGTTCGGCAGATGCGTATGAAGTCAAGAACATCAGCATGCATGTGTGGCCAATGGTAGACATTGGAGGTGCGTGCATAGGTCTTCTCAACACCAAAGTGGCTGCCAGTAAGGGTGTCGTGGTATTCGGAGAGGAGCAGCTGACGTAACGAGCGATCCGCAGGGGCACAAATGGTCTTGGTGATGGTGTTGTACCAAAATGGGTCTTCAAATGAGTATACCGGGTTGTCAGGTGCTTGCTTAACGAAAACCATGTCACGTTTGTAGGCGCACTGAAACTTTGTGATGAAGGCATCATCCCAGGTGATGCTGCTGGTTCCATGCAATGGTGGGGTCGGAGTTTGAGGTAGAGGTGATGAGGTGGGGCTGGTTGGTGAGTGTTGGGGCTGGTCGGTGGATGGTGGGGCTGGTGGCGGAGGTCTGGACAAGACGTCGGCTGGATTGAGCTTTCCGGGGTGGTAGATAATTTGATGTGATAGGACAAACTGCTCCAAGAACTCAGCCCATCAAGCTTGGCGGCGGCTGAGCACGGGCTGTGTTTTCAAGTGTTGAAGAGGGCGATGGTCGGTGTAGACAGTGACGGACTGCAGCTCCATGTAACAGCGCCATATCTTGATTGCCTGGACAATGACAAGGAGCTCCCGGTCGTGTGTTGCGTAGTTGCGCTCTACGGGTTGAAGCTTGCGTGACTCAAATGCAAGTGGCTGCATCCCATGGCCGTGGTCTTGGCAAAGAATAGCACCAATAGCGACATCGGAAGCATCGGTCCATATGAAGTGTGGGCGCGATGGGTCACCGACGGTGAGGACCAGTGCAGAGGTGAGTGCTGATTTGATTGCGGTGAAAGTGGTCTAACGCGGTAGTCCCCACTGAAAAATAGCTCCTTGATGGAAGAGATAGGTCAAAGGGGCGCAGATGTGAGAGAAGTTGAAGATGAATTTTCGGTGGCCGATGAAACTTTGCAGCTCCGCTACCGTGCGTGATGCTGGCCAATCAGCAAGGCACTGGACATTTGCGGGGTCCATAGCAATGCCTTTGGAGCTGATGACATGGCCGAGAAAGCCGATGCTTGAACGGGCGAAGGTACGCTTGGAGGGCTTGGCGTAGAGTCGGTGTTGGTGAAGCGTGTCGAGGACGATGCGTAGGTGCTGAGCGTGTTCTTTGAGTGACTTGCTGAAAATAAGGATGCCATCGAGGAACACGATGACAAAGCAGTCGAGGAAGGGCCGAAAAATGTCGTTCATAAGTCCCATGAACGTGGCTGGTGCGTTGGTGAGGCCGAAAGGAAGAACTCAAAACTCGAAGTGGCCGTAGCGGATTCGAAACGTCGTCTTGCTGATTCATCTTTGGCGAGGCGAATCTGGTGGTAAGCGGATCGTAGGTCGAGCTTGCTGAAAACTGTCGCTTCTCCAAGCATGTCGAACAACTCCTTGACACGGGGCAGCGGGTACTTGTTCTTGATCGTGATGGCGTTGAGGGCGCGGTAGTCGATGCAAAGACGCAGTTCACCTTCTTTCTTGCGAGTGAAGAGTACGGGGGCAGCGTATGGTGAGGTGCTGGGGCGGATGAAACCCTTCTCAAGAAGGTCATCGAGCTGGCGACATAGCTCCAAAAAATCAGTGGTACTCATGTAATAGGTTGGGCACACGGGCGGTGTAGAACCTGAAATGAGGCGGATGATATGGTCAATAGTACGCTCGGGTGGAAGTTCGGCAGGTAGATCATTAGGAAACTCGTCCGTATAATCTGTGAGTAGATCCTGTATGGGTGGTGGCAGAGAAGTAGCTGGTGCTTCAGAATCGGGAGCCGTGAAGATAACTAGGAGATGAGGAGGAGGAGATGGCGAAGGAGGGGTGGGGCTGATGGATTGATAACTTCAGAGAAGGGGCGGAAGAGGCAACA